ATATCTTGTCCTCTTCATTACCACTTCAGCTACTCCCATAACTCACTTCCTGGATTACTTCAGTAACCTCAATTTGTCTCATCACCTTCTATCCTCCTTACTGCCACCTGAGGGCTTTTGCTAAAGGCACTTTTTTTTTTGTAATTAAAAAAAAATTGCCCTGCAATGATTACTCCATTGCATTCATGTTAAAATACAAATTCCTTAGCGAGTCCTGATCATACCTGCACCTTCCTCCTCAGTTTCATCACCTCAGCTAAATCCAAAAGCAAATCATTCAGTCACCTAGCCTGACATTTAAAAGAACACGCTGATGTTAGATTACCTCAACTTGATTGCTGATTTGACATCCTACTAGGAGTGTGAACTAGGGAGAACCAGTCTGTGGGTGAAATAATAATAGAACCTACTTCCCAGGGTGGTTGTGAGAATTACACGAGCTAATATACACAAAGAGCCATATCTTGTCTAGTGCACACATTGTTAGCTATTTATTATCATTATTTATCATCAGCTCTCCCAAACCACGAATTGGTACTGTTGGTTCTTCTTCCTGTAATACCTTTGTCACCTCTCACCATCTGGCTACCTTCTTTTTTTTTTTTTTTTTGGCTACCTTCTTCTATCAAAATTCAGCTCAAGCCCCCCAATTTCTAGCAAGTTTACCTGCTCCATTTGTCCCCTGTGTCATTCATCCCCACCGTTTCCTTTGCAAACTTGTTAGGGTAACTATTGTGGGCCCCTATCAAGAGACTGTGATTATCTAGAGGAAGATGTGATCATTCTATTTTTTTTCCATTTTTATTTTTTATTTTTTTTATTGGAGTTCAATTTGCCAACATACAGCATAACACCCAGTGCTCATCCCGTTAAGGGCCCCCCTCAGTGCCCATCACCCAGTCACCCCCCCACCTCCCCTTCCACTGCCCCTTGTTCATTTCCCAGAGTTACGAGTCTCTCATGTTCTGTCTCTCTGATATTTCCCACTCATTTTTCTCTCCTTTCCCCTTTATTCCCTTTCACTATTTTTTATATTCTCCAAATGAATGAGGCCATATGATGATCGTCCTTCTCAGACTTACTTCACTCAGCATAATACCCTCCAGTTCCAGCCACGTTGAAGCAAATGGTGGGTATTTGTCATTTCCAATGGCTGAGGAATATTCCATTGTGTACATAGACTACATCTTCTCTATCCGTCATCTGTCGATGGACACTGAAGCTCCTTCCACGGTTTGGCTATTGTGGACATGGCTGCTAGAAACATCGGGGTGCAGGTGTCCTGCTGTTTCCCTGCATCTGTATCTTTGGGCTAAATCCCCAGCAGTGCAATTGCTGGGTCGTAGGGCAGGTCTATTGTTTAACTCTTTATTTTATTTTATTTTATTTTATTTTATATTTTATTATTTTATATTATTATTCTATTTTATTTAATTATTATTTCTTTGCATTTTTTTATTGGAGTTCCATTTGCCAACACACAGTAGGACACCCAGTGCTCTCGCCCTCCCCCGCCCCCTGCTCCTTTCCCAGTTAGGATCCTCTCCAGCTCCGTGTCCCTCTGCTATTTCCCACTCGTTTTCTCAAGGGAGACGGGGTCACTCTAAAGGAAGGACGATGCTTTCGTTTCTTTAAGGCACAACTTAAAGGCAGGTGCGTGGCAGCTTGTGGATGGCAGCACAAGGCCCGTGAGCCACGGGATCCCTAAATCAATGTGCCTAAAGTCCCTTTTTGTCTAGTGGGGCGACTTGCAGCCCCAACAGGAGACCAAAGTACATCTTCCAGCACTTCGGGGGTTCAGATCTTCGCCCCGAACGTGGAGCGCGGGGGGGGGGGGACGGGTTCCCTTTTTACTCCCCCTCCGAGCGGACCCGCTGGAAGCCCACAGTCCCCGCCGCGCCGAGAACCCCACGGGCCCCCCCTCCCTGCCCCCTCCCACTTCCCCTCCCTGCCCCCTCCCCCTTCCCCTCCCCCTTCCCCTCCCCCCCACTGCCGCTCTTCTGCGCCTGCGCCGCTCCAGCCGGCGCGGGGCTCCTCCTCCGGGGGCGGGGCCAGCGGCGCGTCATAGGATTGGGCGGCGGGAAGCAAACCAAACGACGCGGAAGTGACGTCGCGGCGCGCAGGCGCCGAGGGCCCCGCCGCGCGGTGGCTGCCGGGCGCCGCAGGCCTCCCCTTCCCCCGCCTTCCGCGCCCGCGCCCGCCCCCTCGGCCGCCCCGCTCCCGGGCGTGACTCGGCACTGAGAGCCCCGGAGAGCCGCCGCGGTCGCCGCCGCCTGCGCCCGGGCCTCGGCCTTCCGGAGCGTCGCCCTCGCCCCCGCCCCCTCCCGGGCCTTCGCCTTCACTTCGGAAGCCGGTGGCGTCGCGGCCGCCCTGCCGGGCCGAGAATGGTGGGCGTGAAGCCGGTCGGGAGCGACCCGGACTTCCAGCCGGAGCTGAGCGGCGCGGGCTCCAGACTCGCCGTGGTCAAGTTCACCATGCGCGGGTGAGGCCGGGCGCGAGCTGCGGGCTCTGCGTGTCGCCGCCTGCTGCCCCACCTTCCCCGGGCCCCGCTCCCTAGCGGCCGCGGCCCCAGCCCCAGCCTCAGCCTCAGCCCCAGCCCCAGCCCCAGCCCCAGGCCGCCGCCCGGGGAGGCCTCGGCTCCCGCGCCGGAGCCCGCGGGGTGCACCGGGGACGCCCGGACGGTGCGGGGCCTGGTCCTCCGGCTCCCCGGCCCGGGAGGCCCCGGCGGCCCTCGTGCACCCGCGGACGGGCTCGGGCCGTGGAGCCCGCCCCCACCCCGGCCCTCCCGGGCCGCCCCCGCTTTCGCCCGTCCACTCCGCTCCTGGGAGCCAGCTGTCACTTGCATCTTAGCAATCCTAAAACCTTGATTCGCCCAACACCTTGGCTTTCTTCCCTACCTGCAATTCTTAAAAAAAAAAAAAAAAATTTAGCTGGGGCTATATCCAACTTACACTGCGTAGCGCTTAGTCGTGAGGCTTCCCGGATGCATTTTAAACCCACGTTGGGCCCGCGTGCTCTTTACTTTTCTTAATGGTTTGGCGACTGGCTTGGCCGGTACCTCCGTGACTTCGGCTCCCCTGTGTGCGCGGCTGCATCGGGTCACCGAAGTTGCAGGAGTGAGTGAGTGGATGCACCGTGTATGCAGGTCTCCAGACACCCGGATTTGAGCTTGATGGTGTGTGGACTCCCATTTTTGACCCGATGGTTTAAAGAGGACAGAAATCTCGAAAGTAGCCCAACCGGCTTTGGTGACTCCCAGCGTAGTTTATTATAGGTCGCAGACAGCTGGAGTTAACGTTCTGAGTGCGCCGCGCACCTGTGTGAGCGTGACGTGTCGGCAGCAGGCCTGCCTGCAGAGCCAGGGTTTCAGAGGGCGTGTTTACCGACCTCCGCCTGTGCAGGCCACTACCTCCTAACTCAGGACGGTCAAACTCCGTTTATCGTGAGGATAAACCCGAGGGTTACTCACGCTTACACCAAGCTGGAGAAATCCACGACATTTATCACTGCTCAGGTGACATATCTCATTGTCCAGGTAACTTGACACCTAAGGCAGGATTTTTTTTTAAAGATTTTATTTATTCATTCATGAGACACACACACACACACACACACACACACACACACACACAGGCAGAGACACAGGCAGAGGGAGAAGCAGGCTCCACGCAAGGAGCCCGATGCGGGACTCGATCCGGGAACTCCGGGGTTACGCCCTGGTCCGAAGGCAGATGCTCAACCACTGAGCCACCAGGGCTGCCCAAGGATTTTTGAATCAGCGTAAAAAGTGATTCGTGGCTGCTGAATGTAAGTGTTGCGTGTATAAGCCGTGGCGTTAGGATTAGGTAGTTTTTGCGCTGGGGGAGGGGTGCAGATAGGAAGACAATTAAGGACTTATTCCTGTGCCAGTCTCTCTCCTACAGAATTGAAAAGGGACATTATACTGGATTTCATAGGGCGGCATGGAGTCCCAGTTTGACATGTGGACTTTCGCATTTACCGAATTGAGGAAGATAAAGATTTCATTATAAAGACGTGGATAAAAGGAGTGTCCGAATTGTATGAATGTGTCTTCCCAGCGATAAGTGATTTTTGTAGTGTCTGTGTTGTTGAGTATGGAGGGACCCCTGTACGATTGTGAAGTGCCTAGGACCAAGTTGGAACAGGGAAGAGATGACTTTTAATGATGAATCTCCTTTTTAGTTTACTTTTCTAATTCTCATCCACAGGAGTGAATAATTTTCATCCCCCAATAATTAATCCTCTCTTTTTCCTTTACCGTAGCGGAAAAAATGACAGTGATAATTTATTAATCGAAGTGAGGAAAGTTGGGAAACTTGCTATTAAGGAAACACTTCCATTAACAATGAGGCAACATTTAACCATAAACAACTGCAGACATTGATTGGCAAAGGACTGTGTGATATGCTTTTAAAAAGGTATTTTGATGCAATGAAAATTTACTTTGTTAAAAAAACTGAGCGCAAAGAAAATGCTTGGATTTAGAGAACTTCTCTATTTATAGGTGATATTTATTAATCTAGTAAGATTGTTTTTGCCTTAAAGTTCTATAATATTTTGGCCATTAGTATTCTTACACAAACTGTGTGTCAGTGTGACCCAACTGGGGTAACTGTGCATCCAGTATTAGACCCTCCAACAACTCTATCCAGTAGATCGTGTAGAAAACCTCTTAGATCAAAGTTAATGTGCCATTTTAGACCAAGAACATAGTTTTCTCTAGCACCTATTTATTTCTTTTCCTACCCTACTTTAAGCCTTATTCCTTCTTCTCCACTTTCACGTTGTATGTAACCTAGTAATTTCATAAAATATTATGCAGATTGTCGCTCTTCTGTCGAAGAATCTTCAAGGGTATCCAGTACTTTCTTTCCTTCTTTTTCTTTCTTTCTTTCTTTCTTTCTTTCTTTCTTTCTTTCTTTCTTTCTTTCTTTCTTTCTTTCTTTCTTTCTTTCTTTCTTTCTTTCTTCTTTCTTTTTCTTGATATGGAATGCTTCATGAATTTGCATGTCATCTTTGTGCAGGGGCCATGCTAATCTCCATATCGTTCCAATTTTAATATATATGCTGCCAAAGTGAGCACTCAAGTTTTTTAATTGTAAAATATATGTAACATGACATTTACCATTTAGCCATTTTTAATGTACAAATCAATGGCATTAACATTCACAATGTTGTACCAACATCATCATTGTTTCCTAGCATTTTTTTCATTGTCTCGGATAAAAGCATTAAATGATGACTGTACCCATTACCCCCAACCTCCCACCCCTAGTAACTTCTTTTTGTATTTATGAATTTGCCTATTCTTGTATACCTCATGTAAGTGGAATTATATAATATTTGTCCTTTGATTTCTGGCTTACTTCATGTAACATGTTTTCAAGGTTCTGACACATGTTGCAGCATGTGTCAGAACTTCCTTTTTGAAGCTAAATATTAATCATTGTATTTTTATATCATATATTGCTTATTCATCTTTTGATAGACATTTCGGTTGTTTGCATCTTTTGTCTATTGTGAGTAATACTGCTTTCAACATTGGTGTGCAAGGATTTCTTTGAGTCCCTGCTTTCAGTTCTTTTTCTTTTTCTACCTGGAGTAGAATGTGGTTGCACCGTTTCTGCATTCCCGCCAGCAGTGCAGGAGAGTTCCAATTTTCTACATACCTGCGAACGTTTTTTATATTTTAATAGCCATCCTAAATGTGTGTGAAGTGGTCTGGTGGTTTTGGTTTGCATTTCCTTAGTGACTAATGAAGTTGAGCATATTTCCTAGTGTTTATTGATCATTTATCTTCCTTGGAGAAATGTCTTTTCAAGTCCTTTGCTCATTTTGAATGAAATGAAAAAAACTTTGGTTTTTTTGTTACTGAATTGTAGGAGCTCTTTACATATTTTGGTTGTTAGTTCTTACATATGATTTATAAATATTTTCTCCTACTGGTTACCTTTCACTTCCTTGGTAGTGTCCTTTGATGCACAAGTCTTTAAATTTTGGTGAAGTCCAATTTATCTTTTGTTGCTTGTGCTTTTAGTGTCATATTCCAGAAATCATTGCCAAGTCCAGTGTCATGAAGATTTAACCCCTATGTTTTCATCAAAGGATTTTGTAATTTTAGCTCTCAAGTTTAGATCTTTTACCCATTTTGAGTTAATTTTTGTATATGCTATAAAGATCCGGGATGCCTGGGTGTCTCAGTGGTTAAGCGACTCTGCCTTCAGCTCAGGGTGTGATCCAGGATCTGGGATCCAGCCCCACATTGGGCTCCTTGCAGGGAGCCTGCTTCTCCCTCTGCCTGTGTCTCTGCTTTTCTCTCTCTGTCTCTCTCATGAAAAAATAAATAATTTTTTTTTAAAAAACAACCAAACATCTACCTTCATTCTTTTATATGTTGATATCCAGGTTTCTGATATCCAGGTTTCCCAGAACCATTTGTTGAAAAAACTGTCTTTTCCCCAGTGAATGGTCTTGGCACCCTTCTCCAGTATTTTTTTTTTTAGACAAAAAGTCATATTTGTGTATTATTTTACATATTTACATATTATTTACTTTCATAAGAGACTTGTTTAAATATTTATTTGGACTCACTGAATCCTTAAAATGATCTTTGAAATTATTCCCCATTTTACAAAGGAGGATTTGAGTCACAGGTTAAATGATTTAAGGTTCCATTGCTGAATGCAGTTTGGATTGTAAAGTGTTGTCCTTGTTCTTCTAGCCTAAGTAGAAATGAAATGCAGATTCATCTCTGTATTGCACAGAGCCTGATGTATTTTAGTAAATATTGCCTCGAATTATTTAGTTATAGTTCTGGTTGCAAACTAGTCTTATGACTTCAGGACATTTCAGTTCACTCTCTGATGTTCTACTCTCTAGCTGTAGAATGGGAATAGTAACGTGTAACCTAACAGTATTGTTTTAGAGGATAAAATTATATATGTGAATCATATACTGTGGTAACATGTTTTTGTAACTTTTATTTCCAAACTGTTACTCATTTTGAATATACTTGGATACATTTGGTGATTTTAAGCAGTGCCAGTTTTGTTATGACTGATGGGTAAGCCCCAGTGCTAAAAGAAAATACATTTTCGGGATCCCTGGGTGGCGCAGTGGTTTGGCGCCTGCCTTTGGCCCAGGGTGCGATCCTGGAGATCCGGGATCGAGTCCCACGTCGGGCTCCCGGTGCATGGAGCCTGCTTCTCCCTCTGCCTGTGTCTCTGCCTCTCTCTCTCTCTGTGACTATCATAAATAAATAAAAAAAAAATTAAAAAAAAAAAAAAAAAGAAAATACATTTTCTTTGCATAAAACTTAGTATGAATGATTTCTTTTTTTTTATTGAAGTCTACTTGGCATACCGTATTACATTAGTTTCGGGTGTACAACGTAGTGATTTAACACGTACTTTACAAAACGCTTACCATAAGCATAGTTACTATCTCTTACCATACAAAGCTATTACAGTATTATTGATCATATTCCCTATGCTGTACTTTTCATCCCCATGCCTACATAACTGGAAGTTTGTACTCCTTGATCCCTTCACCAATCCCCTCCCACCACCACCAGTGTGTTTTCTGTATTTCTGAATCTGTTTCCGATTTTTTTCATTTGTGTATTTGTTTTCTAGATTCCACAGATAAGTGAAATGATATGGAGTATGAATGATTCTTATCTTGAATTTGTGAATGTATCATTTTTATAGATGTATTTACCATATATTGAGTTTTGCTAAATCAGGTCATACTTTGTAGTTGGTTAGGTGTTACTGTTACCATTTGGGAAGAATGTTAATGTGTATTAGGATGTTGAGTTCTAATGGTTATGGTATCTTGTCCATAATACATCTTTCACACACACATACACACGCACACACGATATTAATTATATGTTGCAAAATTGCTGCAAACTGAATTACAGAGATAGCAGCCTCAGTAGTCCATAGGGACCAGGCAGATAATGAGGTAGGTAGCTTTAAGAGAACTAGGGCATGGTGAAGCCTCAGAGAAGAGAATTTTTCTTAAAAGTACACTTTTTAATTGAAGTATAACATGCATGCAAAAATGTACACAAATCATCTGTGTATACTTTGATAAGTTTTAACTAACGTGTACATGAAAAACCTCCACCCCCATGCCCCTCCCACCACCATACTTTCTTCTCATTCTTGAATTCTAACACTACAAATTAGTTTTGCCTGGATTTGAACTTTGCAAAATGGTATCTGTCTGGATTTTTGTAAAGAGCGTATAAATAGTTTTAATCTTGGCGGTTAATTTAGAAATAACAAAAAGCAGTGTGTAGGCCACTGTTTGGGGTTTGGGAAATACCTCTTAAGAGTTGGATTTTGTGATCACATTCTAGCACTGTATTTAATTGTTCTTGACTTTGAAACGAGGAATTGTAGAGCTTAAATGAATTTAAAGCTTTTGTAAATTGTATAACATACGGTAAATGCTCCATGAATGCTAACCATTTTGTGTTATTAATAGGACCAATTATGATTATGCCTGCCCTAATTAAAATATAATTAATCTAGATATTACCTACTTTAAAGTTGTGCCCCACAGAAAAATACTTTTAAAATTTCTCTTCAGGAAGCACATACGTTTTCCTTACCATTTATCAGCAGTGTGTTTACACATGTTATTGCTCAAGGCAGAGCACTGACTACTTTAGCAAATAGTGAAGTGTCAAGTTCATAAAGTAGAATTATTTGTATTATGACTATAAACAAAAATCTTGCTTATGAAACTAACTTGGTGCTTTCAAAGAAAGCTGATCTTGGATTGGATTAGGAGTTAACTGTTCCATTGTGGCCCTGCCATTGACTAGCGTGTCTGATCTTGGGCAAGTCGTTTAACTTTTTTGATCTTCAGTTCTTACTTCTCCGATACTTGTGTTAGGTTAGGCAGTTTTAAGGTTTTAGCTTTGTGGCTTTGGTTCTTTTTGTTTTGGAGAAAGAGTTTTCTGCTGTGTTCTTTTTCCCCAAAAAAACATAAGTCAAAATCCTTCTTTTTCTTTTCTTTTTTTTTTTTAAGATTTTATTTATTTATTTGAGAGAGAGAGAGAGAGAGAGAGAGAGAGGCAAAGACACAGGCAGAGGGAGAAGCAGGCTTCATGCACATCAAGCCTGATGTGGGACTCAATCCCGGACTCCAGGATCACACCCTGGGCTGAAGGCGGCGCTAAACCTCTGAGCCACCAGGGCTACCCCCAGAATCCTTCTTACATACCCATTTTACATACTATTATTTATTTTTTTTTAAGATTTTATTTATTTATTCACGAGAGAGACACAAAGAGGCAGAGACACAGGCAGAGGGAGAAGCAGGCTCCACGCAGGGAGCCCGACATGGGACTTGATCCTGGATCTCCAGGATCATGCCCTGGGCTGAAGGTGGCGCTAAACCGCTGAGCCACCGGGGCTGCCCCCATTTTACATATTAGATTTAACAGATAATCTTTCTGTCAAAGAGAGGTTCAGAGGTAGAAAAGGAACTTTTTTTTTCTTTTTTAAACCCCTGGATTAGATGATCTCTAGTCACTTAGAAGTTCAGAGGCTCTGTGACTATATATTACTTAAGGCTGTGAATTAACGGCTACACAAGAGAAGGAAGTATGATCCTGAAATTCAGGCATATTTGGGGCATAATATTTTAAAGATTGATTGATTGATTTTAGGGGAGGCGAAGGGGGCAGAAGGAGAGAGAGTCTCAAGCAAACTCCTTGCTGAACGTGGAGCTCGACATGGGGCTCAGTCTGACAACCCTGAAATCACGACCTAAGTCAAAACCAAGAGTTGGACACTTAACTGACTGTACCACCCAGGTGCCCCGGGACATAATATTTTAGATATGAGAAAGGTCATAGACAATCTAGTTCCTTTTCATTTTACATGGAGAAATTGAGTGACTTGCTCATGAGTTCAGGTAATAATGGAAATTTGAGTTTATTCTTAAATGCTAATATTAAGCAGGCAAACATCTTACTTAAAATAAGCAGTCAATTCACTTGAATGATTATAGTGTGAAAGTATGCCATTGTATTTATTTCTGCTTCTGTGTTCTATGACTTAT